ACGAAAGACGACTGTTTCCTTCGCGATACCAATCAGTTACTTTTGGCGACTGAAAAATAAAACGAAAAGAGAATATATGAGTATTGATTGATCATCTTATAATTTATCGTTCTTTTGCTATAAGTGAATAGTATAACCTAGTCTACCGTTTACAACTCTCTTACATGTTCATAGTCTCGTTTGGTAATATCAGTAATAGTATCGTTTGACATTCGCTTTTGTGCTTTAGAACCATCAACAACACGTTTTGACTGAAAAGATTCATCTGCCACTATATCGTTATTATCACGATCATTTTTCTCTATTATACTACTTTTCCGACTGCTATATTTATCTACTTCATTTTGTTGTCTTGTTTTAATTGATGGGCGACGATGACTTTCGATTATATCCGCCTCGGGCGAACGCGAATCTTGTTTATTTTCATTAATTGTCTCCTGAATAGTTACTTTTGAATTTCTCGGGCTTTTCATTCTGGAGCCAGATATATTTTTATCGGCATCAAAGCCGTACGATGGTGAATGAATGGGAGATTTTTTATCGGTATCCTGTTTTCGAGTTGGTGTGCTTGGGCTTTCGTTCTTCTCAATGTTTATACTACTCTTTCGAAAAGAACGTGCTTTTGGTGTAGGAGTATTTGATAAAGCAGACTCGCTTCGCTGTGTACTTCTTTTCGTATATTCATCCGAATCATAAGTAGTATCTTCCTCGCCACTGTTGATAGCATTGAGATTGAGTTTAAGATGGGGTTCATTTATTTTATTTCGTTGTTGCATTTTCATTTGACTTGAGTGATTCAAAGCGCTAGTATTAGCAGCTGCATTTCCCGATTTGGTAAATCTTTGAGTTTGCGAAAATGGAAACGAATCTTCCTCATCCGACGATCTTACTTCTTTAATAACAGGCATTGCTTTACGAGATCAATTCCGGCAAAATATTACAAATTACATAACGTACTTGAGAGCTTAAGTTTGAATTTTTAACAGAAATATTTCTTTGGATTCTTTTTAAGCCATTAACATGTTAACGCTATTCGTGCATCTTAGCAACGGTATATAAGAATAAGTGATCACTCTTAATTTTGAAATAACTTCGCTGAGATAGTAGAAAGGTATTACAAAAACATTTTAAAAATCGATCATTTTGCTCAATTGCACATAAGATTGAGATGGAAATAACACACAGATATCTTAAGTCTTTTCATTCGCTAAAGATAACCAATCAACAGTTGTGAAATGTAGTAGTGCGATCTTGATCTGAACAATTATGCTATGGTTGTTGAACCTCTGTGTCAGTAAAAAAGCTTGCCAGTGTTGCCCTGGGCAATCAGAATGTGCAAACTTTCTTCCTGAATATACGCACATATATAATCAGTGTGCATGGGTGGGCCGGGAAAATTCTTTTAGAATAGTGCATATACAAACCTACTTTCCTTCATAATTTTTGTTCGTGCTAACGCACTTTTCTTCACTTAAACTATACATCAAATTTTTCGATCAAGAATTGCTCTTTCTTTATTTTGAACTTCGGACACATACTCTGCTGCGAAATATAATTCTTTACAGGGCAATAACCCTTGAGGCAATTGCTCCCAATTGCCCTGCCGGTGGCCCGCTAATGCTAGTGCCTATCGTTTTCCTTAAACTAAGTCACAAGAAACATCCAATTCTCGTATTCTAGTACATCATTTATTTCAACAACTACTACGGTCGCCATTGATATGTTAGATTATGAGGCTGCCAGCAACGAGAGAAGATAAAACGATCAGCTACAAATCACAAGACACTATGCCATTCGTGTCCCGTCCGTCCGCCCGTAAGGGAGGAGCAGAAAGTGCAAAAACAGCCATTTGGTCCCCAAAATTTCTTTAAACTTAAAACTTCATTTTCCTTCTGACGAGGGAAAACCCTGAAAGTTTTCACAAAAGAAAAGTCAACACAAAGGGTCATGAGCGCAGTATAGATCTTAGAAAACGAACACAAAATGGAAAGAATATATGAAAGGAGAAGAACAGATAAAAAGTAACGCGCAAATCGCCATGCATCATAGAAAATTTTGATTTTTTAAAGTTTCCGGTGCCGATAAATTTTTTTTGATTTCCCAGCATCATTATCTCGACCAACAAATAGAATCAACAGATAAGCAAGCACCAAAACGTGAAAAACAGAAAAAGCGAATCTTTTCGTAAATCATCTACTAAAAGCATATATATAAACTTTGATTGTACCATTTGCTTTTGGAATTATCTTCACAAACGATAAAATATACGAAGAGCAAATATCTGGAAAATCAAAGAGACCAACGTAAAAAATATACGTCGCGATTGCTCCTGTTTCAAAAGGGATGAGAAATCCCTTTCTTCCCACTGATTGAAATGCTGTTGAGAAATACTATTCAGTTATCTATTAAGTATACAGCCACGTAAACTTTCAGAATCAACAACGAGGTCATCCTGTAATAAGCAATGGGGTATCGTTTAAACAGACGCCATTAGTCGTTTACATCTTAGCATCAACGAATTTTACTCATATGTAAACTCAGTTTATATCATATGAACTCGCCAAAATGGATTATAAAACAGAGTCAGACTCTTTACGTTATATTTATAGCAATAGAATGTAAATGTTTGATGTTGGCTATTGATAGAGCCTTATTCCTAACATTTGTTCCTGAAGCACATGGACCTCTGAAACTCATGACTTCACATCTAACAAGAACCATTGGACATTTAGCGGTTCTACATTATTTCATGTATGTACAAAGTAAATTTGTTGACAGAAAAGTGGAAAGTCAACACCTAGCAGAAGTTCGCAACTTAAAATGCTGATAAATTAAGTCAGCAATGTGAAAGAGATGAATAATAAGCAGATAAAAGTCAATGTGAAAAGTATTCGAGTGAAAAAACAAAATGAGAAATAAATAAAACAAGGACGATAGTTTTCTCGAGCACAAAATTAGATTGAAAAGAGCACAGTTCTAATTTCTTGGAAAACGAAAAATGTGAAAGAGTTTTCCAATTTCGCTGGATCTTTAACAATATAATAACCGAATTGAATCATCAATCCAGTTGAGTGTTTATATACATAAGTCTCCAAATTATTTTTGTAACCACATTGCATCGAAGCCGACACCAATTGTCCAGTATATATCCGAACATAAAATTCGCCAAATGTCATTCATGGTATTGAACAATATTGTTTTAACCATATATTATGGTTCATTTTTTGCTTGGAGATGGCGATGGGACAACACAACAGTGATAAAAGTATGGTACAATTTCGTTTTTATCCAATATTTAGGGCCGATACCATCCTTGAACGTCATTCATTGTATCAACTGCCGAAAGTGTATGAAATCCATGGCTCAACGATTCATTGGATCGTTTTTTTAACATAGACACCATCGTAGTGATAGTTTACTGTGAAATGTATGGATTTGTTTAATGCAATCATTTAATGATTCTAAGCCATTATTCGTTGATGGAATACCGATAACTGTGTCTTCATATAAAAAACAGAGTATTTTCACTCGCTGTTTTTTGAAATAGTTGCAAAATGCTACAAGATCAGATTGCTATCTTCATTTAGAGAATAATAATTGGACTTCTTTAGTAAATACATTATCATTAAATAGCAATTGTATTGTCACAATACCACGTTCAATCTCATCCCATTTTGTGAAAACTTTCAAGGACACATCCATTCTCCGAAGGAGATGGAAGTTTGAAGTTTATTTTTATAGAGAGAATCCTAGGCGAAAATGGATCTTGGAAACAGTTTACATAACTGAAATGTGGGATTTACATAGTCTTAATTTCTTGTTACGAATAGGCAAGAATATTAGTAAGTAAGGCTGTAGAAATATAGTCGCGCCGTGTTTGTGCTAGAAGGCTTGCTGCTCTTAGTAAAGGTCACAAGTTTTTCACACTTTTTGCTCCACAGGACAACGCCGACAAGCTTTTTTCTTTTACTGAACCATTTTTTGATGCTCTCAACTTTTGCGTACCATATGTGCCCAACACATACGTCTACGACTGTCTTGAAATTCTATCTCGTACATTGCTGTTATGCCTTTTTCGCCATCATGCATTAGATAGCTAACTTCATACAGTATCCCTATATCAAGAAAATAAGCCACTATATACTGAGATAAAGCTGAAAATTTTTTTTCTCACCAGTTACTGATGATCAATATTTTTTAAAATTCTGAAAACATCTACATATGATTGAATAGCTTCGTCTGTTGATACTAAAGCAATGTTAAAAAGATAGAATCATCGATCGTTGCAACCAAAAACTAATAACGGCAGATTATTCCAATTGAGCATGACTGTTGCATCCACTTGTAATAATGATAACTAAACATCCGTTGAAACCAGCTGTCTTGTAGTTCAACATATAAATACATCTTCACTTGAGTTCACTCTAAACTTTGGTACAGACACATTATAAAATGCTGTTATAACTGGTAAATCAGATCGTTGTTGACATCATGATCGAAGGTTATCGAGTGAATATATCGATGATCAAGTTTTTGAATGATGATAATATAATAGACTTGTTATTGTTGTGATGAGAGTATTCTGTCAGAATATTAATTTTGTAATGCGAGTCTCAGTTGTGATTGGGTAAGTTGGCTACCGTTTTTTTAACAGCATCTTGCACAGGACTGGATGTACGAGTTGATGATGCACGATTGTCATGATTGTGTTGAATCGATTTACTGACATCAATCACATTCAGTGCGTTGACCGATGGCTGAATTTGATAATCGCAATCAGAATATTTCTTGTATAATAAATTCATTTTATTCCATTGGATATTTGCTCTGTGCGAAACTTTAATGCAGAATTAATTTCATGTTTCAATATCCATAAAGTTACCATCAGAATGCCGTGTTTTACGCTACATGTTTAGAACAGTGATAGTTACATTATGCAGATGCAAAAAAGTCGTAATCTTCTCAGTTTAATTCCGTTCTCAACAAAAAAAACTTTCCCCCCTAAAACAAGGATGATTTTACTGAAAAAGATGTTTGATAGCACTTTTTCAAACGAAAAAGAGTAAAAACACAAATAATCTATTCTAGTGGATAATAAATATTTAATAAAATACTTTCCTGTCAGATAAAAAACATAGGGTAGTCAATCAGAATTTATCAACGTTGCTCATATCCGTCAATCGAACTTGACAGTAAAAAATTTGGCATTATTCTTGACAAAATACGCTACGTGCAGTATGCTGCAAGGATGTTGGAATTGTACTTTTTTAATCTTCGTATTAGATTAGAGTGAAAATAATACATAAATAAAAACTGATAAAGAATTTCAACAATTAATTATTTCGTTATTATCAAAACATTTTCTACATGTATAAATTCATAGGGACAAAGTAACTTGATCATTGTATAGTCGATTTGTTCATAAAATTTTTGTGAAAATTTTTATTGATGTAAACAAGATGCTTTGAAAATAAAATATTTAGATTTATTAAAAAATTTAGAAATAGAAAAAAATTATTTCAGTTTATTGTAAGTTATACTATTTATATATACTTTTTATTTTACTAAATATTCATGCTCGTTAGATAAATGGCAGCTTAGAGTCTTTCGTAGATCTATTATGTTCTAATAATGACGAATTGAGATGTGATAAACGTCTGTTTGAACATGTATGAGTAAACAAATTTCATCTAAACATGAATTATGTATAGTGAACACAATTTTTTTTTATCTTGTTCCTCTAAGGCATATTTAGTAAATACAATAGTTTACAGGTGTAACTATATAATTATCCATAGATATATAATTAGAATGAACGGCTACGAATAGATAGGTAAATTGTGGATAAGAAAAATTTCTTGTTTGTGATGTTGTCATTCAACAGTTTCTTTTTCTGTTTTTTTTTTGTATAATGATGCAATAAATTTATTTGATTATTATTCTCATTGCTCAAGAGTTCATACTATTTCTTATCGATTAATAGAAAATTTTATAACGATTGATCACCCTATGTTATGGGCGTGTGTGTGTTGCTCGTTTTTTTTTTTTTTGATTAATTATAATTATAATTGAATATTTGTCTAATCAAATCCACACCTCTTCTCACTTATTGAGAGATTGTACTCATTGATTGTAAATGTTCAATTTTGACCTTCTGTTCGTCATTTTTAGTTTGAACAAAAATCTGTTGATGTAGAAAATGAGTTGACAAAAAAAAAATGGAAAGGACCCACCATCACTTTTTTAAAAATTTTGAAATGTAGAGAGACGAATGAGAAATATAATCTTATCCCATTAATTTGATAGAAAAGACGGTGTCTGTTTACACAAATCGAATCGTGATTTTTTTTTTTTGTCCTCTATCTATCGTCCTCTAAATGATTGTCGTCTCGTTCCCTATCTTTGCTTTATCGATTGACAATTTTTTAAACAGAACATGACAGATAGTAATGCCAATCTATTCTTCTTTTCTTTTAGCTATTAAATTCTAAATGGACATTCTGTCGTCTTTTGAACATACTAAATGGATGATACAACAAAAAATCACATTGTTTTATCTTTTTTTATTTGCATATGGTAGAGTTATTTCGTATGTCATTCAATAATAAAATGAATGAATATTAAGATGATGAAATATTGACAAAATAATATTCATTGTATTAAATAAATACAATAGTTAGAATTTTAAACAAATTTTCGAATATATAAGTCAAATATTTCTTTAAAATATTTTAATATGTTATATCCAAAATTAAAAATTTCTTAGTTTAACATAAATATTGATTTCTCTTATTTTTAAAACAGAATTTTTTTTTTTTAATTACATGTGTACGAGACAAAAAGAAGAAAAAAAATATATACATACTAAGCTACATGAGTTATACCTTTGACATAAAAATCTTGAAATGAATATCCTGACGATAAAGAATGTCCGTTCAATGATGAAGATAAATTGTGTGCGGATGATATTCCGACATTTTTGGCTAAATTTTGAGCAGCTGCTGCTGCTGCCGCTGTAGCTGCAAGTTGATCAAAAAATACTGATGTTGGTGAATATAAAAATGATTCAAAACGATGACCACCTATTTTTGAATGATTTATAGGTGTGACTGGTAATGGACGTTTGATATTCCCATTTTGATTAGCTGAAATAGATGATATTACGGATGTTGGAGTATTTTGTGAAACGGCATTTTGTAATACGGCACTTACAGCATTAACCGATTGACTAGCTTCAACAATTTGTCTTTTTAATTTATTACGTCGATTTTGAAACCATATTTTAACTTGTTGTTCAGTTAAATGTAAAGCTTGAGCGAGATTTGCACGATCAGCACTAGATAAATAACGTTTCATATCAAATGTAGCTTCTAATTGAAAAATTTGTGATCGAGAAAAAACTGTACGCGTTTTCTTTTTACGATGCAACATGTCATGTATATCGCGTCTATCAGAATGATGAGTAATACCATTTTCACCATGATATGGTGGATAATGTCGAGATGAAGATGAATAATCAATATCATCTGAATCTTTTGAATAATCATCATCTAGACTCTCATCAAGTTCATCGGATGATGTATGACAATCGGATATTTGTCCATCAACAGATAATCGTAGAGCTTTAATTTTTGGACTTTGTTCAGGTTTTGGATGAGAATGATGATAAGATGGAATAAGTAGACTAACTTCGGTAGATGTTTCAGTTAACGAAAGTTCATCACTTGGATAGGTTAATTTTAAATTGGTTTTATTTGATTTTAAGTCTCTACTGTCACTGGTTGAATTTATACCTAAATCAGATGATAATCGAGGTTGATTTTCATTTATTAAGATTTGACGATCTCCTAAACATAAATATATTTTATATTTGACTCGGCTCTTTGATGAACTACTCTCGCTTAGAACTATTTCATTTTTCAGAAATATGATACTCATACACATTGTCTTCTTTATTTTTGAGTGTTTATTTTAAAATCATTAAAGAAAAGCAAATGTTCAGAACATTAGAGAGTCCTCTGTACCCACTTAATTGTATTCTAATCAGAGTCATTTAACTGTTTAAAATTTTCTAATATTTTAATTGAAATAAATTAAATTCTTTCAAAAATACTTACCATAAGTTAATGATAGTAGTTTTTTTGAACAGCTTGAATTATCTTTAATTAATTTATAATTATTATTATTTAATGTATTAAGAACGGTATTTGTTTGTGATAACGGTATAATTGTCGTATCATTTTTTTCTAATATACTTTCTATTGAAAATGATAATTTTTTTAATGAATCTGATTTTGTTGGAGATACAAATTCATCATTAATAGACATAATAGTAGAACTAATATTTTGTTTAATATCGGATATTATTATTTTACTGTTCGATTGTTGGTCATCCATCATCAATTCTTATCACAATAAGAAGAAGAAGAAAACGATGATAATAATATTAATCACAATATGTTTTCGTTTTTAACCTATTCACTCTCGTTATTTCAGGTATATTGCTTACAACATATAATAAAAAGAAAAAATCATCTTTCTCTCTTCTTACTTTCGTTTTCTATTCTTTTCATTTATTTCTTGATCATTTGTTATCTTTTCAAATAAAAAAATACAAAAATGTGTTTCTTCATTTTTGTCTCAATTATATACCCGCTGTGTTTTTAACCCAATTGAACTTTTCTTTTTTTTCATTCTGTTTAATAGTTAGTCTATATGAACCAATAATAAATCTTGCTATATAATTGTTCTTGATTGGCCCAATGATCATCGACAATTTCATTTTTTGCTTTGCTCTTTGTTCTTTCTAATTTCATTAAAAACGTTAAAATAGTTTGTATGTATACTTAAAATAAAAAAACATATACACCCACATTGTTAATAGATGAACATTGAAAAAATGTGACATTAATAAATGAACAGAAAATAAATTATTGTACTAGCTTTTAATTCATAGGGTAATAATCACCATCGTTTATTCAATGTATATGTGATAAACTCATAACAGTTTTACTTTACCGATGAATACCATTTGATGTATTAGAATAGTAAAAAGTAATATGATTACTTGTACTCTATCTTTAACCTACGGTTAGTTTTCGAAAACATTAAATGATTTTGTCGTTCAGTATAAAATCTTTAGTGATCAATTAGTCTATGTTACAAAGTTCCCGTTGTTGTTCGGTACAATAGCTAAAAACTAGAGTAAAGAACTGTCGTGTGTCATACAGAGTAGTTCACTTGAAAACTGGAATAATATTGAATACAGATAGGATATTTTCGAAATGATTGAATTTGAGCAAAATATAGAAATTTCAATTCGATATTGACATCTCTAATATATTTTCTATTTAATGTTTTATTCAAACTTGGAACAATTAACCAAGTAGTAAAGAAGATGTGAGAGAAATTTTAAGACTATTAGATATAGTTTTTATTTTTAGAAAATCACGCATCCAATTTACTTATAATCAACAGAAGATTTAAAAGATAACATAAGAAAGATCCATCTTACGGGTACTGTCATTTGTGTATAATACTTCTCAGTAGTCCATATTTCCCTACAAGTGACAATCTACCAAGGTGATTACTAATTGTTGTTGTACTAGTTATCAATCACAGTTTTGCATTGAAAAAGGCTAGCTTCATACAGACTTTACACTGGCATGAGCCATTGAACACATGAAGGAAAAGCTCAGTGTCCAAAACTTTCACTACATCAGACGCATGGATCAACCAAAGATACTAATTTTAAACTTTTTTATATATTTTCTAGATTTAAATTTCTATTCTTTTTTGATCGTTAAGATTTTCCTTGATTGATTCTGTTTTGTACTGCATTTAAAACTCCAGAAAAATGTTTGATGAGATTTATGCATTAAAGAATTGTAAAATTTATAGAAGAACTAATATTTTAAGACTTTTGTTTTTAAGAATGATTTGGTTTTTTTTTGAACCATATTCATTGCATTTATATTTGAAGACGAGTTATTCGTCAAATATAAATTTACAATGAATATTTTCTACTCAGTGTCCCTTTTATTGTTACGCAAACGATAAATATATATATATATATTTCTAATATGTTTAACCTCTCTGTCTTTTTGTTGTGTGTATCGATCGTATATGAATGTTAATAGTCGGTGACAAATTTAAACATTCTAGTCAATACACTAATGGCTTTAGTTGAGGAGGGAATATTGTTGCTAATAGATTGTCATTTGATAATGTAGTTTTCTCTTCATTGACAATAAATAAGATTACTAATACGATTTGACGAACCAAATGAAGAAAAAAAAAAGTGATTTTTTTCTTTTTTTTTAATGTAAAAGAGCGTAATGTATTGGCAATATAATGTTTGATTTGGTTTTTAAGTATTCAGATAGTTTATTGATTAGCATATCCATATCTTTTTTCTCTTCTTTTTTTTTCTATTTTCACCTATACGCATCAATGATATAAGCTAAATAGTTAGTAACATATTTTATTTTTGACTCGATTATGATTAGATTTTTTTATGTAACAATATGCAAAAAAGAATTGCAATAATTTACATGGAAAAAAAATATATTATTTTTTCTTTTTTCTTTTTGTTTTGTTCTTAAATATGACAGTTAAAATTTCATGCAGTCAATTCAACTCGTACATCTATCTATTCTTAATGGTATCAATAAATTTGTTTTGGTTTAATGAAAATTTAAAAAATTAAAAATTAGAATGACCATTAATTTTACAATAAAAATCAAAAATACATATTTTTTCTTGTTCTAGTAAAACAAACTACCACTTTTTTTAATCATTTTTTATAATCAAAACACTATATAGAAATATGTTTTTTATCTATTTCTCATTTTTTTCCTTATGGCTATAAACGTTTTTAAGATTAAAAAAAGAAAATATATATAAAGAATTTTGTTTCTCATATTTGACATGCGATGCGCCTAAGGTTTCTCGACAGATGATATAGTCTTATTTTATTACATAAAAAAAAAGAAGAAAATAAAGAAGAGAGAAACGGATTCTGATAATACATATACATATATATATGTGATCTTGTTAGAACTTTTTACTTCTTACCTTTCTTTTACCAATTCAATTAGTAGCATGCTGTTTTATCTTAATTACATTGATAGTCGTATTTCTCTCTCTCTCTCTCTCTCTTTTTCTATTTTCTTATTGTACAACAGGCAGACGTCAGTTATTAAGCATACGATCAAAATGAAAAAACGGTGCTCATTGTGAATAATAGAATTTAAATATATACTCCCTTCCCCGTAACCAAACGAAGAAGAAGCAAAAAAAAGGAAATTATCAACACCCATTTTAATTCGATTATGATTACAGTTATTATTAATTATCAAAATATTATTTTTTTTTATCTTGTTTAAGTATATTTTATTAATAATAGTTGACATAATAGAGTATATCTTGATTTATTTTTATTGACTCAATAATGACTTATTACAGGAATATCATGACCAGTAATTAGTTCCTTAAAATTTCTTTTGTCCAATGTAATTTCTAGCATAACTTTCTGAAGGATATTCTCAACTTATCGTTAATACTTGCCCATGCATGATTTATTATGATATCTATTGTTTATCTATTTAATACGTTAATGTTTTATTCACTACCTATGAAGTTTTGTGAAAAGAGGAAAAAAAAACGAATGAGACCATGCAGAAACAAGATATTGAACATGTATTTGATTATTATCAAGATAAATGATAATGTACATATATATCTAAAATCGAATTAAATTAATTAATTGAATAACACATGGGTTTTTTTGTGACTTAAACCCAACCAATGACAAAAACGAAAGAAAATAGGCTACTTAGTACATCTTATAAAACATTCAAAAATCTAGATGACATTTGATCTAATTGTATTTTAGATGCACTTCAATAATTTATTTTTTACTACAACAAGAAGAGAAAAAAAACATTTTTTTTTTTTGAGTCAGAAACGTCAATCTTCTCATAAAGTAAATAATAGTTTCACTTTTATTATACAAATACATCAAAAGAACAAGAGATTGACACACAAATACAAAGTAGCCTGATGAATTATGAAACAGGAGTTGATGAAATTATAAAGTGTATTTTAATACGGCTAAATTGTGACAGATAAACATATGAAAAGAAAATGCATAACTCGATCAAGAATCGAAGCCAGAACCCTCTGATAATAGGCTAGAAGCTCGAACCACTGAGCCACCTAAACACAATCCAACATACACTATCAGACTCGTTGTGAACTGAGAGTGTATGCTGGATTGTGTTTACATAGCTCATGTGGTTCGAGCTTCTGGCCTATTATTAGAGGGTTCTGGCTTCGATTCTCGATCGAGTTATGCATTTTCTTGTCACATGTTTATCTATCACAATTTAGCCATATTAAAATTCACTTTCTAAATATAAAGTAGTCTTCTAGATTTTTTTTGTTTTTGTACTATAAAAATATACTTATTTCAAGAAAAAAATCTTTTTCTCTTCGAAGATACGACTTCTGTCTTTTATGTCAATATATAAAAGATTTTTTTTATTATTTTCTAATTAAATAACCATTTGTTTCATAAAATTAACTCGAAAAAAGTTCCATTCAAATACGAATTCTATTTGAATAGTTTAAAATATGTTAAAATTCTTTATTCAGCTTGAAAAGTATACCGAATAAGTGAATATTTCGTATTTCTATATAATAACGTGTAAATTGCCATTGATAAAATATCGATTATTTAAACAACAATTTTGTCACTTAGAATGTGTATTAACGGCGGCATACTTCAGTGTCATAAATACGATTTTCTTATATGTTTATCTTATTTGTCATCATCATTAGATCAGTAAAAGAACAGCAAGATGAAAAAAAACACATCGTGTCCATTTAACAGGATTTATCCGTCTCGGCATCATCGTAATTATCAGTAACAATAAGAGAAAAAAAAAAGAAAGCAATTTATAGAACTTATTTTAATGGTTCTATATAGTTATGAGAAAATTATTCTTGTTAAACTGTGTCATATGAAAAGAATTTGATTATCAAACAGAAACACTATGTAAAACAATATCAATTGAAGAAAAAACAACAACCTGATGATAAATAACAACCGCGTACATGGGAAAATTTTATATGTACTCACCCAAAAACAAAACCTCAAAACATTTTATAGTAGTCATCTAGACCAACAGAAAGACATAATTTAAGCAGTAGGAAGGTGATATTTATGTTGGTTCATCTGTTACCCAATATTGAAGACTGAAAAAGATTTGAAAAGAAATAGTTTGTCAGAAATTTTTAGAGATTCGAAAAGTTCAAATAAATTTTGATAAACATCAGAAATACTCCGATTTTGACTTAAATCCTCTGATTTTTATTGTTTCAGAGCGCCTCTA